ATACGACTTTTAAAAAACTCGCTCGCCGCAAAAAATAAAAAAATAAAAAAATTTCCCCCCTCTCTACTTCTCCCTTCCTCCTTTTGCTTCCTCGTCCCCTCCCCACCCCCCATTAACGCCGAAATAAAAAAATGTAAAAAAAAAAAAAAAAAAAGAAAATTTATCGAAACTTTTTTAGAATAAAAACGAACGTCGAACGTCGAACGGGAACTCAATTTAAAAAAAAAAAAAAAACTTTAAAAAGTAAGAAAACAAATTTGCTATATATATATATATAAATGTACACACGCACGCACACACACACACGCACACGCAATTTTACATGAAACATATGAAAAAAAAAAAGAAAGAAAAAGCCCCTGGTCAAATATTTTCAAAACCTGTTGATTTTTCAACCCTTAACCCTTGACCCCTCCCTTCTCCCTCCTCCTCCCCTCCATCCCCCACTCCTCCCTTTCTACCGTTAAAAAAGTTACATTGTAAAATTTATAATTAATAAAACGGAATTAAAAAAAAAAAAATTTATGAAAGTTTAACCTTTAAATAAAAAATGTCCGAAACTGTTTTTTTAATTTTTTTTTTTTTTTTTAAATAATGAATGAATGCGTGTGTGCGTGTGTGCGTGTGCGTGTAGGTGTGTGTGCGTGAGTGTGTTACCTGACAAGTGAAATTATAAAATTAAGTGATAACGATACTAATTTTAATTAAAATCAAATCTCTTTAGAAAAGTTTTCCCAACCGGAAACGCATAAACGTAATTCGAATTAAATATTTTTAAAAAAAAATAACAATGATAATAATACGCACACACGCACAATTTTTTGTTTGTTTGTAACTGACATTGTTTGTCATATTTACTCTAAACGGCATTTTGACAACCAGCAGGAAAATAATATTATTATTATTTTCTTTTTTTGGGCGTATTTTCCACACAGTATAAAACAAAGTTATTTAATTATTTATATAAAAAAACACGGAACATTCGAGATGTTTTTTACTTTACCGCGATGTTATAAAATAAATTTGTTTTAAAACTTTTATAAATAATTAATTTTTTTTGTACTAAAACAACAAACATTTTAAAAATATCGCGATAATGATGATAATGTCATAATAGTAGTAAGAAAAATTTTTTTTTGATGACTACGAATCGCTGGATTTCCCACCCCCCCCCCCAAAAAAAAAATTTCCAGCATTTAATTTAAATTTCAAATTAATTTCAAATAAATTCCGCGGAAAAAATAAAATTTTTAGAAAGTTCTAGAATTTTTAAATAAAAAAATTAAATAAATAAACTTACCCCCTTATGTGATGAAAACAAATTTTTTTTTTTTAGCGGCTAAAAATAGCCGGAAAAACGCCGAGAAAAAGTTTTCCCTTCCAAGAAAAAAAAAATTATGAAATTTTCCAAACAAACTGATATCCTCGATGGATTGTATGCTTGCTTTATAACTAAAGTTATAAGCCAGAAGGTTGGAAGAAGGGTGGTGGTGGTGGTGGTGGCAGCGGTGGTGGCGGTGGTGGAGCTCCAAAATATGGTGAGCAGTGCAGACTGAGTCGCGTGAATTTTCTTCGTGTTTGACCTTTTCTTTTTTTTTCTTTTTTTTTTTTCATTCACACAACATTGTCATCATTGTGTCCTGCTGGAAAAAAAAAAACCATTTCAAATTACAATAACAATAATAATAATAATAATAATTTTTATTATTATTTATTTTCAAATATAATCTTCTTCGAATAATAAAAAAAACTTACGTTATAAAGAGTTTGCGCGCGCGAAAATAATAATAATAATGTGTAAGTAAGTAATTTTATTAAATCAATTTTTTTTATTAATTTTATTAAATTTTTTCCCAATTTTATTCTCCATTTTTATTATTATTATTATTATTACTTTTCTTCCTGTGACGTATTTTGCAATACACGATGTTAAGTTTTCATTCATTCAACCTGAAATGGAAAAAAGAAAATTTTCCGTTTTTGTTTTTAGAAAAATTTTTTTACCCTAATGTTAAATACCTTACTCACATCATTTTAAACGCATTTCCGGAATTTTTTCCAGAACATTCTTCGGTGATGAAGCCCTTTATTAATTGTAATCAAAACTTATTAACCACAGAATGAATCTGGAATAATTTTTTCCCATTTTCCTGTCGTTTAAGTGGTTTTCCCCCCCCATCGATCTGATTCTACTGATTTGTTTTTCTCTGGAAAAAAAAATAATAATGATAATAAAATTAATCTCAAGTAAAAAATGAAATCAATAATTAAAAAAAAAAAAATTTTTATGATAATTATTACCGTTGTAATTATAATTATAATTTTTTACAATAAAATATTAAATTTCATACTTTTTTTTTTATTTTTTATATAAATATATATATTAATATAATATAAATAATTAACCGTTGGATATAAATAAATAAAAAAATTATTTTTTCTTTTTTTATACTTTAATCAAATTTACACGAATTTAATAAGGAAAAATAAAGAGAAAAGAAAAAAAGAAAAGAAAAGAAAAAAGAAAATTTAATAAAAATATCAAAGTTTAACTTATATATGATGATTATTATTATTTTATTTTTTAAATTAAAATCTATTTGAATCTCATCTTCATTTTATTTTAATTGTTTTCTTTTACAAATTATTATTATTATTATAAAATTTATTTAAATAAATTACAATAATAAAATTTATCATTTAAAGTAAATAAAAAAAATTACAGGTAGTAATTTTAGTTTAAGAAAAAAAAAGGAGGAGTAGACTAGATATCATTTAAAGTTCAAAAAATTACAAATAATAATAATAATAATAATAATAATAATTGGTAAAAAATTTCGAATTAATTTTATAATAAAAAAAACAACAAAAAGGAAATCAATAAAAAATTCTTTTAATTTTTTTTTTTTTTTTTCCATTCAGTGATAAATTTTTCCCCTGAATTTTCTTTTCCCCTTCACCTCCACATTCCCCTCCCTCCCTCTCCCTCCTTATTTATGCGAAACTCAATTAAGAAAAAAAAAAAAAAGTTTTTTTGTGTTAACCTTTTTAAACTTTAAGAAAAAAAAAAAACCTTTTATCGTTATTCAAACGATAAAAATATGGTTTGTAACAAAGGTAAGAAGAAGAAGAGTAACAATTTAAATCATTCAACTGAAAAAAAAAACTGTAATATAATCAATCGACTCATAATAATAATAATAATAAATTTAATAAAAACGTTACTAAAAACTTTTTCCCCCCCTCCTAAAATGTTTATTAATTTTCTTCGTAACTTTTTATAAAAAACTTTTTTTTAAATTACAAAACGTGTAGTTTTATTTTGACCAAATAAATTATTATCATTATTTTCGTTATGGAGAACATTTTAATTTATTATTAATTACTTAATGCCATAATGGCACGAATGGTAAAAAAAAAACGTTTATAAACTTGAAGAATAAAATGAAATGATACCAAAAAGTAACAGTACATGTAAATATATGTAGATGATGGATCAACATTGTTTAACTTATGTTATAACAAAATGGAGGAAGAAATGTGTGGTGGTGAGTTAACAAACAAAAACATTTAAAACCATAATTTTATAATAATTATTAAAATTCATCTTTTATCTGAGTTTCGATTGAATTTGATACAAAAGATACGTTTTCGGTTTCGCTTGTTATAGTGTAATTGTCGTCTGCAGTTTTAACTGATGGATCAGCATTAACAAGAGTTATTTTTGATCTGAATGTTGATTCCATGGAAACATTTGATGAAACTTTAAACTCGGGAACAAAAGAACATTGTAAATTAAATGCAGAATCACCTGGCATTATCAATTCCGGATCATGTTGTATAACTATTGTGTTAATAAAACAAGAATCTGCCACGTCCTGAAACAACAAATTAAAACAAAATGTCCGAATGACATAAACAAAATGAATTTTTATATATTCGAATGTTTTTTATGTCATCGACTCACCATAATAGTTTGACATTTATTAAATGGTA